AAAAAAAAAAAAAAAAAAAAGTAGCAAAAGGAAAATGCTTCTTTCAGGGCAAGAATGTCACTGAAGTGCAACAGATTTTCTAGGTATATCCCTAGAAAACAAAAAAATGGTAAGAGGAAGTAGATTTGAACTACTATAAGATCAATTCTGAAATGTCAATGCATCTCATGCTAGACAACCTTATGACTTGAAAACAAAATAATATTTGAAATGGAAATGGCCTCAGTTCCACCCCTGGTGCCCATACAGTGAACCTGTCCCTGCAGCATCCCCATGAGTCTATGCTCCTGTGTCCATTTGCATATTTTCCTTAAACAAAAGACCACCTTAATAAGAAATCACTAAACCAGGGAGATAATCAACTTATCCCCAAAAGATTTAAGCCTCTCAATTTGTTAAACCTTCAATGGGGATTTTAAACAGAAAACTGGGGACCAGTGGGGTGGCACATGCCTCTAATTCCAGTACTTTAGAAGAACAAGGTGGGTGGATTGCTTGAGCCCAGGAGTTTGAGACCAGCCTGGGCAATATGCCGAAACCCTGTCTCTACAAAAAATTACAAAAATGAGCCAGGCGTGGTGGCACATGCCTGTAGTCCCAGCTACTCAGGAGGAAGAGGCAGGATGATCACCTGAGCCTGGGAAGTCGAGGCTGCAGTGAGCTGTAATCATACCACTACACTCCAGCCTGAGCAACAGATGGAGACCCTGTCCGAACCATCAATTATAGAAAATTGGTAGCAAACACACGGTCTCGTTTTACATTTGGATTACAAGAGCCCACAAGCCCTTAAAGCCCATATTTTTGCATACCGGATCCCAAACCCCAGCCCTCCTTCAGACGTGGCCAACAGCCTGGCTAACAGAATGCTTCCTCAGTGACCCCAGGACGCACTGTGACTTTACCAAAGGCACGGCGCTGATCTGGATGAGGAGGTTGCTCTCTTCCATGTCGCCATACTTCAGCTGGTAGGGTTTGTATGGATCATACACAGCATCCACCAGTTCCGTGACTTTTACCAGATTGTGTTCATCTTTAGGGAATCAGAAATGATAAGGAACAAAGAATCTGAAATTAACTGTGGGAAAGCAACAATCGAGAGGCACTCTACTAGAACTTTCCCCGTGGGATCTCCAAAGGGGACTACATTTTGTTAAGCAGCTTTTAGCATTCATGGAAGCTTCTTCTACAATCAGTCCAGCAAATATCTGGATAAATTTGGGCTTTGCACAGATTTGCCTAAAGCAATATTGAAGACACCAACCCCCTAAATCCCATGACCCACCATGGATAAGAATCCCTTCAAAAGATAACCCTCATCAAGCTCAGGTTCAAGAATTGCCACAGAGGCTGGGCACAATAGCTCACGCTTGTAATCCCAGCACTTTGGGAGGCTGAGGCAGGCGGATCACCTGAGGCCAGGAGTTGGAGACCAGCCTGGCCATTATGGTGAAACCCCATCTCAACTAAAAATACAAAAATTAGCCAGGTGTAGTGGTAGGTACCTGTAATTCCAGCTACTCAGGAGGCTGGGGCAGGAGAATCGATTGAACCTGGGAGGCGGAGGTTGCAGTGAGCCAAAATCGCACCACTGCACTCTAGCCCGGGCAATAGAGTAAGATTCTAAGACTCTACCTCAAAAAAAAAAAAAAAAGAATTGCCACAGAAAAAAGGCAATACAGGAAGAACATTTCCCATGCCATGTGTTCCTAGGACTTCACAGAAACAGGATACCCCACAGGCAGGGCACGGTGGCTCACATGTGTAATCCCAGCACTTTGGGAGGTCAAGGTGAGTGGATTACTTGAGGTCAGGAGTTTGAGACCAGCCTGGACAATATGGTGAAACCCCGTCTCTGCTAAAAATACAAAACAAATTTAGCTGCCATTGCACTCCAGCCTGGGCGACAGAGCGAGATGCATGCACCTATGTTCCCAGCTACTTGGGAGGCTGAGGCAGGAGAATCACTTGATCCCGGGAGTCAGAGATTATAATGATCCGAGATCACACCACCGCACTCCAGCCTGCACGACAGAGCCAGACTCTGTCTCAAAACAGAAACAAAAAAACAAAAGTATACCCCATAGCCAAGGCATTCCAAAAATTCCTATGTTCAACCATATAAAAATCTAAAACATGCTGTATCAAAATGTAAATGTGCATATTGTACAACACAGCAATTCGATTCATGAAAATCATCTCAAATAAATCAACAAATACACAGAGAGAGAAGGATGTTCATGGAAACATGGCCCAGAATCAGAAAGCTTTGGACATAGTCTCAGCAGGGGATTAGTAAATGTAATAGCCTACTTCCTGGTGTCCTCACATCCTTCTGGTCCCCTCCTCCAGCTAGTTTTATTACTACTTCTACAATCTCATCCTCCTTCCCTCTTCCTCCAACTCTCAGCCTTCTCTCCATTCCTAAAAGCTTCCTCTGGTCACATGCTGATCCTTCTGTCTGGAAGGACCATCTTCTTCCCTTCCCCTCTTCATCTAGTTAAACTGCTGCATCTCCTTCAATACTCACTCAGCAAAAGTTTACTGGTCTCGATTTCTGACACCAATTTACAAGGTTTTGTAGAGATTAGGTAAAGTAATGTGTCTAATGTGGTAATAATCAAATCTGCACATGTATAGAATCCAAGGTGTTAGTTCTTTTTTCTTTTCTTCTTTTTTTTTTTGAGACAGGGTCTCACTCTGTCCCCCAGACTAAGGTGCAGTGGTGCATCCACAGGTCACGGCTGCCTTTGCCTCCCAGGCTCAAGTGATCCTCCCAACCCAGCCTCCTGAGGTTTGGAGCAGGTGTGAGCCTCCATGCCTGGTCCAAAATGCTATTTCTGAATGGCAGGTTGAGGATTATTTATTTTTTTCCTTCCTTGTATTTCCAACTTTTTCTATAATGATAAAGCCAACCTAAATTTTTTTAAATTTACTTTATATTGCATAATCTTTTCCATTTTGAATTGTATTAGATACATGTATTAACTATTAAAATAATAGAAAAAATGTTAAAGGTAAAATTAAAAGTTAGAAAATACATTTATAACATATTTGATAAACAATGGGAAAAATTTCTCACTATATAAGAATCTTTCAGAAATGTGCACCAAATTCGTAACAGTGGGTAAAGTGGGATTACAGGAGAGCTATTTTGTGTCATAGAGTTCTATATCATTAATTCTTATAATACACACTTTTGTTGCTTTTTATAATATATTTAATAATATATTATTTTAAATAAATTGCTCTTAAAAATTAACAAGAAAAAGGTTAAACTCCCAGAGTAACAGGCTAAAAAATAAGCAATTCAAAAGAGAAAAGATACTTTATATAATGTGACTTTCAAACTCCCTAATAACTAAAGTGAAAAACTAAAATGATATATCAGTAATTGTCTAAGAACCTGGCAAGGAAAGGAGAAAAAAGTCTCGTGCTGGTGAGGGCGCGGAAACACAGGCACCTTCGTTCACTACTGATAGATAAGAAAACTGGTGAACACTTTCTAAAGAACAAAATGTGACAAATATCTTCACATTCTTCATTTCTGAGCAACTACAAGTTTAAACTTATCCTAAGGAATAATTGGAGGTAGGCTCAAAAGCTAATGTATAAAACAGTTCATAATAGTTTTATACATCATAGTGATTAAAAAATGTAGTAAATTGACTGGGTGTGGTAGCTCACACCTGTAATCCCAGCACTTTGGGAGGCCAAGGCAGGAGAGTCGCTTGAGCCTAGGAGTTTGAAACCAGCCTGAGCAAAATAGGGAGACCCTGTCTGTACAAAAAATTTCAAAATTAGCCTGTGGTCCCAACTACTCAAGAGGCTGAATTCAGAGAATCACTTGAGCCCAGAAGGTACAAGGCTACAGTGAACTGTGAAAGCACCAATACAATCTAACCTGGGCAACAGAGCAAGACCCTGTCTTGAAAAAACAAAAAACAACAAAACTATGTCTTAGGAAAACATTTAACTATATCAGAAATGGTCTTTATATTATTTTTAGCATTTCAAAAAATAAAAATATGGCTGGGCGCAGTGGCTCACACCTGTAATCCCAGCACTTTGGGAGGCCAAGGCGGGTGGATCATGAGGTCAAGAGATCAAGACCATCCTGGCCAACATGGTGAAACCCTGTTTCTACTAAAAATACAAAAATTAGCTGGCGTGGTGGCGCATGCCTGAAGTCCCAGCTACTTGGTAGGCTGAGGCAGGAGAATCACTTTAACCTGGGAGGCGGAGGTCGCAATGACCCAAGATCGTGCCATTGCACTCCAGCCTGGCAACAGAGCACAACTCTGTCTTCAAAANAAAAAAAAAAAAAAAAAAAAAGAAAGAAAGAAAGAAAAGAAAATATAAAACTGTCTACAGCCAATATTTTAAGATATTTATATATATAATATGTAATTACATGCTAACATATAAAAGTATATATTAAATATATATTACATTCCATATTTATTATATAATATTTATATGGTAGATATTAAATATTTATATAATATTTTGTAAGCAATGTATATTTGTGTTAATGGTGCAAACAGTGTTGTTGGTGGCTCTGACAGATGACTTTATGGGTTGTTCTTGCTCTCTTTTTAATTTTTATTTTTGTGTGTTTCCAAAGAACGTTAAAGTTAAAATCTCAAGAAGGATCATCAGAAATCTAGGTCAGGTGCAGTGGCTCATGCCTGTAATCTCAGCACTTTGGGAGGCTGAGGTAGGCAGATCACTTGAGGTCAGGAGTTTGAGATCAACCTGGCCAACATGGTGAAACCCCCATCTCTACTAAAAATGCAAAAGAAATTAGCCAGGCGTGTAGTGGGTGCCTGTAATCCCATCTACTCGAGAGGCTGACGCAGGAGAATTGCTTGAACCCGCGAGGTAGAGGGTGCAGTGAACCGAGATCATGCCATTGCACTCCAGCCTGGATGACAGAGCAAGTCTCTGTCTAAAAAAAAAAAAATTAAAGTCCTGGCCAGGTACAGTGGCTCACACTTACTATAATCCCAGCACTCCGGGAGGCCCAGGCAAGTAGATCATCTGAGGTCATGAGTTCAAGACATGCCTGGCCAACATGGTGAAACCCCATCTCTACTAAAAAGTACAAAAATTAGCCAGGTGTGGTAGCACGCACCTGTAGTCCCAACTACTCGGGTGGCTGAGGCAGAAGAATTGCTTGAACAGGAGACAGAGGTTGCAGTGAGCTGAGATTGCAGCACTGCACTCCAGCCTGGGTGACAGAGTGAGACTCATCCCGTGGCTGACTAGCAAAGCACTGCTAGATGTGTCTCAAGGGTGGTTCTCTTCTTTACTACATCCACCCCAGGGGAAGGATGCAGCCGTTCCTTGCTCCACCTTCGTCCCGCTGTGCTGCAAACAACTCTCCTTAGCCCAACTCTTCCAACTCTCCTTTGCCACTTCTGCAAAGGCAACACGGTACCCTGGAAGCTGCCCACATCCAGCGGGCCTTTCCCATAACTAAAGCCTGACCTGTAAGTGTGCCAAAAACACCGATGAGTCATCAGGAATCTGAACAATAAACACACTCCCTGGAACGTATGAGGCAATTATGCACAAATGTAATTAAAGAGAATAACTATTAAATAAACCAAGTTAGTGACACACGGCAGCCAAACAGCAGAACAAGGCCTTCCTGAAGGGATTTCCTGATTTGACAGCAGCATGAGTCATGGGGTCTGTGTTCTTTAAAAATTTATGAAGCTTTTAGCATAAATGGGAAAGAGCTTGGAGAATGTCACACACCAGGTGTTGTTTACCCAAATGGGAGCAAGGGGTGCTCTTCTCTCAGTCAGCCACCGGAGAAAGCTCATTTTCTCTATGACCACCTTTACTCTTAGCACAGCTCCCCTGCTCTGGGACACTTGCTGTCGCTTCTTCAAAAAGCCCCTGTAGCGGCCAGGCAACCTGGCTCACGCCTGTAATCCCAGCACTTTGGGAGGCTGAGGCAGGTGGATCACTTGAGGTTGGGAGTTGGAGACCAGCCTAACCAAAATTAGCCGGGTGTGGTGATGCACACCTGTAATCTCAGCTACTACTCAGGAGGCTGAGGAAGGAGAATCACTTGAATCTGGGAAGCAGCAACAAGAGAGGGAAGAAGGAAGGAAGGGAGGAAGGAAGGAAGGGAGGGAGGGAGGGAGGAAGGGAGGGAGGGAGGGAAGGAGGGAGGAAGGAAGCCCCTGTAGCGTATTTGTTCTCTAAAACTGACTTTTGAGGTTGAACTGTCTGATGCTTCATGATGACTTCAAAGGATGAGCAATACACTTGCCTCCTGGTGTAATCTGCCACCAACTCTTTGCCATAAATCTACCTGCCTCGCTGTGATGCCTCTTTTACATCCCAAGCACCCAGAGAGGTGTCCATCACTTCCCCAAAGCATGTAAAGCACCCAGGCAGCACTGGAGCCAGGCAAGTATATTAAACAAGTATTCCCATGATGGCAACGTTTTCATGGAAAAGCCCTCCACATCTGCTGAGAAGGAAAACACAGATCCCTTCCATTTCTGTAAAATCAGTCATCTGAAAAGGCAAACAAACCCAGGCCCCAGAAGCTTCAGAAAGAGCGAGTAAAGACAAGCTGGAGAGCTGGGAGGAAGGAATATTTACATAGGTGGGGGAGCAGCGCCATCTCCAAGCCCTTGGCGAAGTGGGCAGTGGTGTCGTAGAACTCCAGCAGCCTGGTGAGCTCCTGCTCTGGCCCTGCCCTCTCCACGCCACTGCTGATGCAGGAGGGCAGCGAGGGCGTGAGGGCCCCCAGGGTCTGAATCAGCAGCACCGTCACCACTTCATGGGGCTTCTGGAAAACCTGCAGTGAGAGAGAGGTATACCTGCCTTGGAACATGCAGTCAAGTAGGAGCCTACCATTTTTTTTTTTTTGGGGGACGGAGTTTCGCTCTTATTACCCACGCTGGAGTGCAATGGCGCGATCTCGGCTCACCGCAACCTCCGCCTCCTGGGTTCAGGCAATTCTCCTGCCTCAGCCTCCTGAGTGGCTGGGATTACAGGCACGCGCCACCATGCCCAGCTAATTTTTTGTATTTTTAGTAGAGACAGGGTTTCACCGTGCTGACCAGGACGGTCTCGATCTCTTGACCTCGTGATCCACCCGCCTCGGCCTCCCAAAGTGCTGGGATTACAGGCTTGAGCCACCGCACCCAGCCGAGCCTACCATTTTTAAAAAACTTTTTTGAGAGGCCAGTCATGGTGGTTCACACCTGTAATCCCAGCACTTTGGGAGGCCAAGCTGGGTAGATCACTTGAGGCCAGGAGTTCAAGACCAGTTTGGCCAACATGGCGAAACCCTATCTCTACTAAACATAAAATTAGCCAGACATGATGGTGCGTGCCTGCAATCTCCTATTCGGGAGGCAGAGGCAGAGGATGCGGTGAGCCAAGATTGCACCACTGCACTCTAGCCTGGGTACAAAGCGAGACTCTGTCTCAGAAAAAACAAAAATAAATGCAAATTAAAAATTAAAAACTTTTTGGAAACAGGTCCCAGGCTGAAGTGCGGTGGCACAATCATAGCTCACTGCAGCCTTAAACTCCCAGGCTCAAGTGATCCTTCCACCTTAGCCTCCCAAGTAGCTGAGACTATGGGCGCACTACCATACCTAACTAATTTTATAGAGACAGGGTCTCACTATGTTGCCCAGGCTGGTCTCAAACTCCTAGCCTCAAGCGGTTCTCCTGCCTCAATCTCCCAAGGTGTTGGGATTATAGGTGTGAGCCACGGCACCGTTTAAAGAAGCTGTCTCCTGGGTCAGCCCAAAAGGATCTTCCCTGATAGATTAAAAATGGCTTAGTTTACAGCTATAAGCCCAAAGCTTTCCTTGGCAAATGTGAACATGCTCAGAAAGTAAAGTAAACTGGCAAGACTTGGAACTTGCAACCTGCCCAGAGCAACTGGCAAGTTCATGTCTATCAGTGACCCAAGTGTCTAACTATTTTCAAATCGAACAAATGCATTCATGTAGCATTTTTTTCCAATGGTCACAAAAAATTGACTGGAGAGGGAACTATGGGCCAGGCATGGTGGCTCACACCTGTAATCTCAGCACTTTGAGAGGCTGAGGTGAGCAGATCACCTGAGGTCAGGAGTTTGAGACCAGCCTGGCCAACATGATGAAATGCTGTCTCTACTGAAAAATAGAAAAATGAGCCAGGCATGGTGGCAGGCACCTGTAATCCCAGCTACTTGGGAGGCTGAGGCAGGAGAACAGCTTGAACTCGGGAGGCAGAGGATGCACTGAGCCGAGATCACATCATTGCACTCCAGCCTGGGGGAAAAGGGCGAAACTCCATCTCAAAAGAAAAAAAATAGAGAGAGAGGACTATGACAGTGGAGACACTGGGGAGTGGGAGCTAGGGAATAAAATAGAATGAAAGAAGAGAGTACTTAATTGAATCAGAGTTGTAAGAATCTTGAAGCACAGTTGCTGTCTGGCCTACAAGCCAGCTTTCCCCTTGACAGAGATCTTCAGTCTACATGGATTTCTCGATTATTCTTAAGGTTCACCAGGAATAGTGTATCTAGACCCATTTAGATTATAAATTCACTTATTCATTGTCTTTTTTTCCATCCTTTTTTTTTTCTTTGAGACGGGGTCTTGCCCTGTCACCCAGGCTGGAGTGCAATGGTGCGATCTTGGCTCACTGCAACCTCCATCACCCAGGTTCAAGCAATTCTCCTGGCCCAGCTTCCCAAGTAGGTACATGCCACCACGCCCAGCTAATTTTTTGTATTTTTTTTTTTTTTTTAGTAGAGACGGGGTTTCGCCATGTTGGTCATGGTGGTCTTGAACTCCTGACCTTGTGATTCACCTGCCTCAGCGTCCCAAAGTGCTGGGATCACAGGCATGAGCTGCCATGTCCGGCCTTTTTCCCATTCTTTAGATCTCTTGGGCAAAACTTGGATAATGAACAGTCCATTTAGAGGGAGGTTCTCACAGACAGCCCAAGTGTTGATTATATAGTTTTTTTAAATAATGCATCTTTAATATGAATAAACATGAAATGAGATATAAAAGCTGTTCTTGCTGGGCACAGTGGCTCATGCCTATAATCCCAGCACTTTGGGAGGCTGAAGCAGGTGGATCACTTGAGGTCAGGAGTTCGAGACCAGCCTGGCCAACATGATGAAACCCCGTCCTTACTAAAAATACAAAAATTAGCTGGGAGTGGTGGTGTGCATCTGTAATCCCACCTACTAGGGAGGCTGAGGCAGGAGAATTGCTTGAACCTGGGAGGCGGAGGTTGCAGTGAGCTGAGATTGTGCCACTGCACTCCAGCCTAGGTAACAGAGCAAGACTCTGTCTCAAAAAATAAAGAAATAAAATAAAAAATAAAAGCTGTAGCTAGCAACTCTAAGGCCAAAAAGGCAAACATTTAAAAACTGTAAAACCAATAAAATGCAAAATTTTATTAGAAAATAACTTGAGGCAAATGAAAACACAACATATCAAAACTTACAGGATGCAGTGAAAGTAGTGCTAAGGAAAATTTATAGCCATAAACACATAGAATTTTAAAAAAGAAATATCTCTAACCAACAAGCTAACAGTACACATTAAGGAACTAGAAAAAGAAAGGCAAACTATACCCAAAGCTAGCAAAAAGAGGGAAATAATAAAGATGACAGCAGAGAATAAAATAGAGAATAAAAAATCAATTAAAAAAAAAAACAGAAGTTGGTTCTTTGGAAAGATCAACAAAATTGACAACATTTACCTAAACTAACAAAAAAAGAGAGGACTCAAATTACAAAAATCAGATATGAAAGTGAGGACATGACCACCAATTTTGCAGAAATAAAAAAACTATACAATTTAAATTTTTAGTCAACTAAAAATAAAACTTGAAAAAAAAAGTAATAAAAATAATTATGAGACTATGAACAGAACAACTGTATGCCAACAAACTGAATAACCTAAATGAAGTGAACAAATTCCTAGAAACATAATATATTGAAGAAACCAACTTAAGGAAAAATAGAAACTCTGAATAGGCCGGGTGTGGTGACTCATGCCTATAATTCCAGTACTTTGGGAGACTAAGGTGGGTGGATCACCTGAGGTCAAGAGTTCGAGACCAGCCTGGGCAACATGGCAAAATCTAACCTCCACTAAAAATGCAAAAAACTTAGGAGATACGAGAATCACTTAAACCCGGGAGGCAGAGGTTGCAGTGAAATTACATTGCACCCACTGTACTCCAGCCTGGGTGACAGAGTGAGACTCCATCTCAAAAAAAAAAACAAAAAATAAAAAAAAAAAGAAACTCTGAATGGACCTATCACTAATGAGAACATTAAATCAGTCATCAAAAAACTCCTAACAAAATAACAGAACTAGACAACTTCCCTGGTGAATTCTAGAAAGCACTAAAAGAAGAATTAACAACAACCCGTCTAGCAGACTTTCAAAAAATTTGAAGAGGAGAAAACATGTTATGGTCTGAACTGTGTCCCCTAAAATTCCTATGTTAAAATTCTGTGAATGTTACTATCTTTGGAGACAGGGCCTTTAAAGAGGTAATAAAAGTGATACAGTATCACATAGTCAGCTCCAATCCAATATGACTGGAGTCCTTTTAAGAGGAGGAGATTAGGACATTGACAAATAGAAAGGAAAGACATAGGAAAAAGATGCCCATGTGTAAGTCAAGGAGACCAGCCTCAGAAGAAACTAATCGTGTGAACACCTTGATCTTGAACTTCTGGGCTTGAGATCTTTGGGAAAATTAATTTATGTTGTTTAAACTACCCAGTCTGAGGTAGTTTATTATGGAAACAACTAACAAACTAATACAGAACACTGCCCAACTCATTCTATGAAGCCAGCATTACCCTGATACTAAAAGAGACAAAGTCAAGAAAAGAACTACAGGCTAGGCGTGGTGCCTCACACCTGTAATCCCAACACTTTGGGAGGCCCAGGCAGGCGGATCACTTGAGGTCACGAGTTTGGGACCAGCCTGACCAACACGGTGAAACCCCATCTCTACTAAAAATACAAAACATTAGCTGAGCGCAGTGGTGCACGACTATAATCCCAGCTACTTGGATGGCTGAGGCAGAAGGATTGCTTGAACCTGGGAGGTGGAGGTTACAGTGAGCTGAGATGGTCCCACTGCACTCCAGGCTAGGCAACAGAGCAATTCTCCATCTCAACAACAACAAAAAAAAGAACTACAAACCAACATGCCTTATGAATACACATACAAGCATCTTCAACAAACTGAGTTCAGCAGCATATTAAAAAACATTATAAACCATGACCAAGTAGTATTCACCTAGGAATGTGGGAATGAATCAACTATACAAAAATGAATCAAGGCCTGGCACGGCGGCTCAACCCTGTAATCCCAGCACTTGGGAGGCCAAAACAGGAAGATCACTTGAAGTTAGGAGTTTGAGACCAGCCTTAAAAAATAAAAAATGTTATAAATCTCTAATTTTTAAAATGAATCAATTGTATATACCACATTAACAGAATGAAAGGAAAAAAATACATGAACACCTCAATTAATGCAGAAAATATATTTGACAAAATCCTATCCCCTTCATGAGAAAAACACTAAATAAACTAGGAATAGAAGAAAACTTCCTCCACATAATAAAGGCCATACATGAAAACCCACAGCTAATGTGATATCTGATGATGAGAGATTGAAAGCTTTTCACCGAAGAACAGGAACAAGATAAGGATGCCTGCTTTTGCCTCTCTATTCAACAAAGTACCAGAAGTCCTAGCCAGAGCAATTGGACAAGAAAAAGAAATAAAAGGCATCAAATTGAAAACAGAG